ATTTATTTATTTATTTATTTATTTATTTATTTATTTATTTATTTAGTAATTCTTTCATTTTAAAATTGTTATATTTATTGTTTTGATATGTTGAGAGCTGTTTTGGGCACTTTCCATTGAGAAGTGGGATTCAAATGATGGCAACTACATTGGGGGCATATGAAATAGAGATACCTTCCTGCCTGTATAACATTGTCAGTACAGTGATACATAGTTCAAATGTACACACATCACACTCTCAGGACTATATTACCATATTGCAGTTCTTTCCCTGTTCCCAAGTAGTCTCCATCCTGCAGAAAGTTTCTACACACAGGAGAGAGAATTGTCTCAATTTTTACATGTGGAAAACCAAAGGGAGTATTAGCAGTGATACAACTTGCAAACATTTCTTCTCATCAGATTTGCATCAGATCTTTCAAGGAATTCAAGCTGTTGTACATCCTTACAACAACCCAGAAAGTGGCTTGAACTAAGCAACTGACATTTGATTTCTGCATTGAGCAGAGGGTTATACTTCATGGGCCTACGTGATTCTCTGATTTTATTACCGCTGTCATCTGGGTCTCACAGGTCACTGAGCAACGGATTTCCGAAAAGGGATTTAAACTCAGGCCAAAGTGCAGAGCAGTTGTTGCAAGACACCCTCACTGTTTGTTTCTGTAACTGTTTAAAGATTTGGCATTACAAAGCTTTCTGGTGAAATACAGTAAACACGCTTCTAGGTGGTTGATGTGGTATAAGATAAAGCACAAGTTTTGTTGAAAGGTTCCTTTAGAGCATCTTGGGCAGCTGCTAATCTTCAGTGGAAACATAATAGATTTCATATAAATCACAATTCAAATCATGGTTTAAATTTGAAAAATTTGATTTTTTGACTGTTTAAATTAAAAATTGATTTTTTTGTTTAAATTACAATTTAAATCATATAAATCAATTTGATCTTTAAAAAATCATTGATTTTTATCCACCCTGAATAGAAACAATTCTTTCTTGATGTGAATGTAATGATAAACTGGTCATCTGAATCCTCCCACTTTTGAGAAGTTATCAAAATTATTTGTGGTTGTAAAACAATTAGAGGTGTTCCCTTAGACTGAAATCCTTTTAATTGGTGACAATATCCCCCATGTAATCATACAGTAAATTTGAAAATGCTTTTAAGAGAAACCTTACTCTAATTATGTTTTTTGCTTTTTAGATTTTTCTGTAATTATAAAGAATTGAATGACACTGCAATCACACTGGTAACTAGAACATCTGAAGATAGATGGCACAAAATTTACCGCAACACTTCTAGAGAAGATGGCTCATTAGGATTTCAAGGAAGGGTGCAGATCTCAAGATGGCAGCCCAGCGAATTCGTGCAGCCAATGCCAGTGGCCTCCCACGGTGCAAGTCCGAGGGAACTCTGATTGATCTGAGTGAAGAGTTTTCAGAAACCAGCTTCAATTCTGTCAAAGGTGAGTGTTTGTTTTGTATGTTGGAGCACCACCAGAATTCAACCAAAATGAGAGGGGTCACAAAAGAAAGAGATCCCTTGTGTACACCATAATACAGAAATCACACTAAACAAAGATTGGCATTACTTAAAATTGAGATTGTGACTTTGGCTTCCTTTAGAATTGCTTGTCTGCTGCCTCCCCACAAACGGTTAAAGAAGAGAGTCCATGCTTTGCATATAATGGTTCAGTCCTTGAGAGTTTCATGGAAGGCTGGAAAAATTTGTGCCTGAATTCTGAGAGAGCCATTAGCAATCAGCGTAGATGTTACCGAGTTTGATGGGCTGTCATGTCAGACTTAGCCTAAAGCAGCTTCCAAAGATGTTTCAGAGGTTGGCACCTACACCTTTTCTCTTAAGTATTATCTTGGAGAGAAATCAGAATAGTTCAGTCCCCACCTCCCACCCCCTGTATTACATAGAATCATAGACCTAGAAGAGAATCCATCCTGCTGCCTGTGCAGGAAATCCACAGCTGAAGCATCCCTGATAGGTGGCCATCCGACCTCTGCTTAAAAATTGCCAGTGAAGGAGAGTCTGCTAACCTCTAAGGTATTCAGATTCATTATCTAATTATACTATAGTTTGGGTAAGAACTTCAGACTGTAATTACGGAAAGCATCCTCTTTTTATGGATGGCTGTTAGGAGACAGGAGATTGTCTATGTTGGTAAATGAATGAACAGCAAATCACTGTAGCCCTGTAATCAAAGCATGTAAGCTGGTTGCTACTGCAGATTGAAAACATCAGCCACCAAGATGTTTTATATGCCATTAAGCATTTTCTCGAAAAGAAGTAGGAACAGCCTTTAAGGTAATAATGAGATTGTGTTTTTTTTCATACCATCATGATAAATAGGGCTTTTAGAATATAATCAGACAGTTAGGCATATTCTAGTATTTTCTATTCAGATTATTTGTATTAAAGAACATAATAAATTCATTGGCACACATTGCAGCCTAAATCATCATTCCTTATTAGCAGGTCTTGCTTCAGGAAGCATTCTGACATGTTTTCCCTGGCTTGGGCTCAGATGGGACACTAACAGGACTTCTCACTCCTTTAGAGCTTCAAGGAGTGGTTTGTCATTGCCTTTTTCCCACTGAGTATCCACGGCCAGTAAGGATTTGAACCCAGGTGTCCTATGTTCTAATCTATCATTTCAATTGCTACACTGGGCGAACTTTTTTGCGTTGTGTGTTTTTAAAGCTGCCAAATAGAGGAGGGTGGAACTGTTCCTGTAATTCATTTGATAGGGAAGTAGCTGAGCAGCAGCTTGCTGGAGACAATGTAGGGAAATCTGTATCACAGCAAATCTGTGGGGCTGTTGTGACTCAAGTGCTTTGTGCTGCTCCAGCATGTGTGACGGGAGTCTACTTTGGAATTCAGTCGGTGGATACAAGGCTGAGAGAGATGGTTACTGAAAATAAACTTGCCGGAGGAATGGAAATGTTTGCTTTTGACAAAACAGAACTTAAGGAAGGGACGTGCTTCGCTGCCTGGGAGGGGTAGTAGGCAAGCCTGTCCTATGATGATGCTCCGGTTATGTTGTGCCTCTGTCCCCAAGGGCTGGGAGGAGGGAAGAGAAGTATTCTGGTGCCAAGTGAGAAGGACTCCTCTTTTGGTTCTTTGTGCATACTTCTCATTTCTGCCTGAAGGAGCTTTTCAGCACCCCAGTTTTCCAATTAAAACAAAAAGCTAGCCCTCTTATAACCAAGCATAGGCAAATTTATCAAAAATCTAATGATAAAAACTATAGCTACAGAACATTTTTTTTTTTGCTCACACAGACACGTGCATTCCCCACCCACACCCCGTAAATCAGTTCCTCTCTTGCTGCCCTTGCCTTCTTTTCTGTAGCAATCAGGTTTTTAAAAAGCTCCCCTTTAAGCTTTTCTTAAAAACACCAACTGACATGGCTGGGAAGACAAGATCAACCTTTCTAATCCCAGGTGTAACCACCCATCAGTCCCCACCAGGCAGTGCCTATGTGGAGCTTTTTTTAAAAAAAGAAAAACTTTATTTTCTGCCAGTGGAAGTACGTACACATAGCACTACAGTAAGACTCACATAATTTCCAATAGTTGAATAACTAATGGACACTTTGTACCACTGTTCATTAATTCATTACACAATTTCTTCTTGGAGAAAATGTCAGAGGCAGCCAGCTTTGGCCACCACTAACACTGAAGGTGCTGAATTTCCCATTGTGGCAGAAGCAAAAATGAATCCCTTCCCCATTTCTACTTAAGACAAACTTGGTTAAAACAGGCAGTCATGGAAAACCTCCCTAAGAGATTTTATTAGAAATTAGTTTTAGATATTAGTTTTTTATTAGAAGCCAAGTGCATAAGTTTTGTGTGCTTTGTTTACAAGACTAATTATATTTTCAGAAGGCTGTGAAGAGTCCTGTTAGCTAGAAAAGAAGGTGTGTGTACATTGCACCTCTCATCTTGATTTAAAAATAGATGATTAAAAAAAAAAAAAGGTTTTGCTGTGGCAGCACATTCAGTGTGTAAATGGGAGGACAATGGTTGCCAAAAATGAGCAATAAACATATGATGTGTGGACTGTGTTGCCAATCTGTAATTTTATGTCATGCAAGTATCCTCTTGGAATGTCTTGGTTTTTCAAAACAGATAAATTTGCTATTTTTACAGGTAGCTTTTCTCCTAGCCAGATATTGAATGGAATGGGGGGGGGACATTGGAGCAGCTCTTTTTTAATATAATTTTCAAGATGTAGTCTAAATTGTGGGAAACAAGCTGACAGGAAAAGCATATTGTATATTTCAAACGTAGTATTAGAGGGGATCTATATGATACCGGGTTCTCCAAAAAAGAGGGAAAATTCATTCTAGATAAATGCAAGCCTGAACTCTTATTGCAAACTATCATGGCTAAACAGAGACTGGTGTGCTTTTGACATATTAGAACACAAGATTTATTGGAAAAGACAATCCTGCTAGTATAAATTAGAAGGTAGTAGGCCAAGAGAAAACCTAAAGTGAGGTGGATTGATTCATTAAAGATAGCCATGGCTTTTAGTGTGCAAGATCTGAGAAAGACTGTCGGTAATAAAACTTTGTATAGGTCAATAATCAAAGGTTTGCCGTATCTCAGAAACAACCTGATGGCACAACAACAGAGTATTGATAGCAGAAATTCTTGCCTTTAAAGACGAGGGTTAGACTGGTTTGCTTTATTGTGCCTTTGGGGCCTGAGACTTAACATGCTGTCTCCTTTAATATGCTCAGATGGTGATTATCTAGTAACCTGATTTATGTGCATTAAGACCTCTAAGCTGCTTAGTATTAGATTAGTATATTCATTTCTTCTCATCCATTTACATCGGCTGTGCTTTGGCTTTCCTGCTCCATGCAATCTTCCTTAATTTTGTGTCCATAAGTGTGATTGTTCCTTTCTTGAAGTTTCCCTGAATCATTTGGATTCTTGTCATACAGCAGTGCTTAGAAAATTCTTCTCTACCTCGCAAACACTTTCTTTGCATGCCCTTTGAAAAATTAAAATCCACTTAATATCCAACAGTATGTACTCCCACATTTTATAATTCCCTTGAATCTGTTGTTCGCTGTGAGTCATTGGAATCATGCAATCTATCCACTGCAACGAGAAATGTGCATGTCTCTGTGTGTTTGTATGCATGTACATAAAAATATGTGTGATACAGGCTTTCTTGTTTTGTTGTACATATTATCTTTCACTTCTTGGATAAAATATTCCCTAAAATTCCATTTAAGATGCTCAAATCTTTGTTCTTGATAAGGTAGTTACCTACAAACTAAAATTTAATACAGGGGAATGTGGAAAAATATGAGTGGGAACACACACACATCTCTTTTGCAGGTCCAGTATTGTACAGTTGATTATTTAGATTTGACTCTTACTAATCTGGAGCCAGATTGCTAAATTAATGAGCCAGACGTTGCCACTGGCTGGTAACTGAACCAGGTCATAACCAAAGCCATCACCAATAATCCCGTATTTCCTATTCTCTCCTTGTTACTTCTGTAGCATAGTACTTTTTTGTAGTATTATAGATGGATATATGAACCAGCTCATTACTCTGCAGCTAATTAAGTCAATCATATATCTGTTTTCCCTTCATCTCTGTCCCCTTAAAATAAAATCTGCTGCTTACTCCCGAATGAGTGGGTAGAAGATGAGATTGCAACTTGAGTTGTGCATAATAATGTTCTGAGTAGGAGTAATCTCTTAGAGCTGGAACAGGCAAATTGGAGACTCTAGATGATTTGAACTACAACTCACCTAAGCCCTGGCTTAAGCATTGTCAGCGTTCAGGGTCTGCCATTAAAATCCAGTCAGTGAGAAAAAGCTGGGGATTTGAGTGTCTATCAAAGTGTATGACTGATGCCTTACATACTGTACAGTGATTCTTGATTCTGTATAAGACAACCATGCTTCAGTGGTCAGAGAACTAGTGTGGTGTTGCAATATAGTTGTTCTATTCAGCAATTTTTTCATTTTCATTCTGGCTTTTGCTTTTCAGTGCCTTCTCCCAGTGCCTTGATGGTAGACAATCCTGCATCATTTGGAAATGCAAAGGAAGTTGTAGCAATAAAAGACTATTGTCCAAACAACTTCACTACCTTGAAGTTCTCCAAGGGTGACCACCTTTATGTCTTAGATACCTCAGGAGGTGAGTGGTGGTATGCTCACAATACCACAGAGATGGGCTACATCCCATCCTCCTACGTCCAGCCTGTCAACTACCGGAACTCTTCATTGACAGACAGTGGAATGATAGACAATCTTCTTGAATGCTCTGATGAAGGAGCCAAAGAGCTTGACCTTCTTGGAGACTGGACAGATGTGAAGTGGAGTTTAGCCAAAAATAATCCTTTCCTGAATAAAACACAGACCAACCCTTTTCTGAATGGGAACGTACAGATAATGCCTGACAGAGATTGTTCTCTCTCTACTACAGTGGATTTGTTGCTCTTCGACACAGGGATACCTACATTTACAGGGTCAAGTTCTGCTACAAATAGTAGTGTAGGTAACCAACTTGATGAAGTTCCATCAATGAATGGGTTTGAGTTTGAACAGCCAAGCCGACGGGACAATCCTTTTTTCAGAAGCAAGCGCTCCTACAGTTTATCAGAGCTCTCTGTCCTTCAGGCAAAGTCAGAAAATCCAGCATCATCTGGCTTCTTCTCTGGCTTAAAGTCTCCTACCCCAGAGCAGTTCCAGAGCAGGGAAGATTTCAGAACTGCATGGCTGAACCATCGAAAACTAGCTAGATCTTGCCATGATCTAGATCTGCTGGGCCAGAACCCTGGTTGGGGTCAGACACAACCTGTGGAGACTAACATAGTTTGCAAGCTGGATAGTTCTGGGGGAGCAGTTCAGCTGCCAGATACAAATATTAATATCCGTGTTCCAGAAGGACATGTAGCTCTAGGTGAAACACAGCAGATCTCTATGAAAGCACTGTTGGATCCACCTCTGGAGCTCAACAGCGACAGATGCAGCACCATAAGCCCAGTGCTGGAGATTAAGCTGAGCAACATGGAAGTGAGAACTTCCATCATACTGGAGATGAAGATTTCAGCTGAAGTTAAGAATGACATTGTGAGTAAGAGTTTAGTAGGAATACAGTGCCTGCGGAGTGATATAAAGGAAGGCCCATATGCACTAGTGCCCCTTAGACACTGCTGTGGAGACACGATTCAGGTTGAATTGGAGAACCTGGAGCCTTGCATGTATATCGCAGCTGTAGCCCAAGGTCAGAACATTCTCTATCCTTACACCGTCTGGGATCACATTGGTAAAAAAATCACAGTTGGTGTGTATGGTCCAAAGCACATACATCCTTCATTTAAAACAGTGGTGGCCGTCTTTGGGCATGACTGCGCCCCAAAGACCCTGCTAGTCAATGAAGTCACACGCCAAGTGCACTGCACAGCACCCGCAGCACTGCAGTTGTGGGGAAAGCACCAATTTGCCTTACTGAGGCCGCAGGACCTAAAGATTTGTATGTTTTCAAACATGACCAATTATGAGGTGAGAGCCAGTGAGCAGGCAAAAATAGTGAGAGGCTTCCAAATGAAGCTGGGCAAGGTCAGCCGCCTCATTTTCCCCATCATATCGCACGACCCCAATGAGCTGTCAGACTTCACACTGAGGATACAGGTCAAGGATGAAAAGGATGCCATACTGACTCAGTTCTGTGTCCAAACACCACAGCCGCCTCCCAAAAGTGCCATCAAGACCACTGGGCAGCGAAGATTCCTAAAGAAAAATGAGGTCGGGAAGATCATCTTGTCCCCTCTTGTAACCACCAGCAAATATCCAGTCTTCCAGGATCGGCCTGTGGGGAATTTAAAGTATGGCAAGCTGCTGAAAACGGTAGTGCGGCAAAACAAGAACCACTATCTCCTGGAGTACAAGAAGGGTGATGCCATTGCTTTGCTAAGTGAGGAGAAGATCAAGTTGAAAGGTCAGCTTTGGACAAAGGAGTGGTACATTGGTTACTATCAGGGTAAAATTGGTCTTGTCCACACCAAAAATGTTTTAGTTGTTGGGAAAATCAAACCAAACTATTTCTCGGGACCTGAGCTGACTACTAGTCTGTTGCTGGAGCAGATTCTGAGACCTTGCAAATTTCTCACCTATATCTATGCTTCAGTAAGGACTTTGCTGATGGAAAACATTAGCAGCTGGCGTGCATTTGCAGATGCTCTGGGATATGGCAACCTGCCCCTTGCTTTTTTCTGCCGAGCAGAGCTGGACAGTGAGCCAGAATGTGTGGCTTCTGTGTTGGAGAAACTGAAGGAAGACTGTAATAATTCTGATAATAAGGATAGGAAGTCCTTCCAGAAAGAACTGATGTCAGTAAGTATTCTCATCATTTGAAGCATTCATTTTTAATTCTAGAATCGTTTTCTTCTCTTTTAGCTTTTTGTCCCATTCAGCTGTCAAAAAGGAGCCAGGATTGAATGCTATTGCTTGCTTTAAGAACAGTTCAGCTCAAAACCTACCTTTCGCCGGTACCAAATGCTTATAATAGTCAGATGTTCTGAAATTAGGGTGTTTAAGCTGTAGAATGACTTCAGCATTCTTCATGTAGAAAAATCCTGACGCTGGACAGATTCAAAATATGTCATCCTTGGTGCGTGGAGATATATTCATTATGGTGCTCCCCCTAAAAACAGTCAGAAAGAAAAGTGAGCAACTCTGAAGCTTCATACTGACAAACCAGCTCTAGCAATTTTCTCTAGCTCCTGGGGTGGATCTTTTGTAAAGCTGATGGCTCTTATTAACCTGTTGAAGAACAAGTTGTGACAAAGGACTTTGCATTACAACAGGGATAGCTCAACATATTGTGGCTGGGAAATTTCATTCCTCCCTGCTCCTGTGAGGATGCAGCCAAGCTTAGAGAGATCAGGAGGGGAATGATGAGGCGGTGACAGGTGATGCTGTCATCCTTGCTATTCAGAAGGACCAGGCCTTCAACCAGAGATGTCTTGTGACTGGGGCAAGGGGTCGCCTCCCTGAAGTTTTGGGATGAGGTGCCCTTCATCCTTGTCCACAAGCTGCCCAGAAACTCCAACCTCATAAGCTCTGGCTCCATAAGTCTTTTAAGCGACAAATCAGATCTTGGAAGTAATTGGCTCTGAGTGAATGGGGGGGGGGAGTAATTTAGGAGTAAACATCATTAGTCATGTTCTTTCCAGTAGATGAACAGCGAATAGAAATGTGTAAGTGCCTTATACTCTCTGACATCATATTAATCTAATCTATTCTACTTAAGTTGGTGTAGAGTTCATCCAGGTATAAAGAGGTCCCCATTTATTATTATCCAGTCTATCATTTAGTGTATCTGTCAAAATGTCCATTTCTGCTAGTTCCAACATCTTCTTAATAAATTCCTTCTTTGCCGGCACCTTTGTAGTCTTCCACTTACTGGCATATACAATTCTAGCTGCGGTTAACGTAAGGTCAAGTAGGTCTTGTTTTTTTTTTTTCAAGTGCAGCTGGTTATATATTCAATAAGAAGATTTCTGGCGTCAAAGCAACTTTAACCCCTAAAACTTTCTCTATCGTTTCATGAATCATTTTCCAAAAGTCCTTGGCCCTAAGTATAAGACAAGATTAAATGAATGGAACATATTGTAATAAATCACTCTGGTTGCAACGGACAGGAAAGTAGAAAAAATACAATAAAATATTTATTTATTTATTTTTTAAAAAGAAATGTATAAGTGCCTTGAGTACTTAATGACACTACGTAAGGTTATTTTTGTACAAGCAGGGAAAGAGAGAAATGAAGCCACAAGATCACATTTCGCTGCAGTGTTTATAGGTGTACTCCAGGTGATGAAACTGAAATAAAACTGCTACAAATGCTACGATTTTGCCATGGTTAAATCTCAGTTCCCCTACTCATAGAAAGATTTTTTTTACAAATCAATGAAATCACAGGCAATGTTTTTGTTTTGATCATCCTTTTCAGATATATTGGAAGATTCAAGAGAGAAAAAGTAGATTAAGTAGGAAAAAGTAATCGGGGAGAATGAGGGCATTAAAAACACCAAACAGAGAAAAATGAGCCATTTCCCTGCTATCTGTGATGTGCCTCTTGCATGTCCCCAGATTGTTTCGCTACCCTGAGGTCCATGACACATTCTCCTTTTACGCTGCCACCAGTTGATCTCCATCAACAATGTTTAATTAGAAAAATTAAGGTCCATGCCGAGTGTGCAGTTGAACAAAACAGGTTTATTGGTTACAGTTCACATAAACAGGTTCTTCAAAGACTTTAAAGTATTCAGTAACTTTGTAATCATTTGTTTCACTATTAACTCTCTATAAGTTCCATGCTCTCAACTGCCTACCTTAACTCCTGACTCTCTAACTCTCCTGACTAACTTTTCACTTCAGGCCCCCATCTCTGTCTGTAACTGACTAAACTCTTCTTCTCTGTCTAACCCCTCCCTTCTAGTTTCTGTGGCTCCAGCTCCCAACAACTCCCATTGGTACATGAGCCAAAGCAGGATGATCAGCACACCATCATTCCAGGATCGAAGTTGCTGCCTCCACCCCCATGAACACATATCACGTGCTTTTTAAAAAAGTGCTTGCAGTCTCTTTCCAGAAGTGTGCACTGCTAAAAGAGAAATGTGATCAGCAGTGTGATGCAGCTGCCAAGAAAGCCAATGCGATTCTTGGTTGTATCAATAGGTGTACAGTGGTGCCTCGCTTAACGATTGCCTCGTTTAGCGATGAATTCGCATAACGATGTGTTTTTTAGAAAATAATATGCACCGTATAACGATGTTTCGGTCCCCTGCTTCGCTTAACGTTTTTTTTGTTTTCAATTTAAAAAGTGTCTTAGAAGGGTCCAAAACGGTTCTAAATGCTTGGATTCGTTAGAGGACCCCTTAAGTCATGTGCAAACCTGATTTGGCTTTGATCTGACGTTTCGTTAATTTTTTGTGAATTTTTGTTTTTTGGCCCATAGGAACCAATGGACCTGTCAAAATCTGACAGCTCCATGCTTTCCCTTGGGGGAGGAAACAATTTACAAAAAATTAACGAAAGTTCAGATCAAAGCCAAATCAGGTTTGCACACAACTTAGGGGGTCCTCTAACGAACCCAAGAATTTAGAACAGTTGCTGAGTCTTCATTAATTTTTTGTGAATTTTTTCTTCCCCCATAGGAAATAATGGAGCTGTCAGATTTTGACAGCTGTCAAAAGTTGGGGGAAAAAAATTCACCATTAATTAACGAAAAGTCAGATCAAAGCCAAATTAACTTTTGCATCCGTTTTAGAGGGTGCAGAAGCTAATCCAAGCATTTAAAACCATTTTTGACCCTTTTATGACACACTTAATTTTGCAAAAATTGACTTCGCAAAGCCATTGAAATGTATTGAGTCAGCTACAATACATTCCAATGGAGGAAACATTGTATCGTTTAACGATGTTTCCTATGGGTTTTTTCGCTTAAGGACGGCAATCCGTGCCTATTGGAACGGATTAACCGGTTTCCAATGCATTCCTATGGAAAATGGTGTTTCGCATAACGATGTTTCGCATAACGTTTTTTTTTGAACCAATTAAAATCGTTATGCGAGGCACCACTGTATAGTGTCTAGATCAAGGAAAGGGATAGTACCACTCTATTCTGCTTTGGTCAGACCTCACCTGGAATATTGTGTCCAGTTCTGGGCACCTCAATTCAAAAAGGATGTTGACAACCTGGAATGTGTCCAGAGGAGGGTGACCAAAATGGTCAAAGGTCTGGAAGCCATGTCCTATGAGGAGCAGCTTAGGGAGTTGGGAATGTTTAGCCTTACAAAAAGAAGGTTGAGAGGGGACATGATAGCTATGTTTAAATATTTAAAAGGATGTCATGTTGAAGAGGGGACATCTTTAATTTCCAGGGCTGCAGAAACTAGGACATGGAGCAATGTTTTCAAACTACAGGAAAAGAGATTCCACCTGAACATTAGGAAGAACTTCCTGGTGGTCAGAGCTGTCCGGGAGTGGAATAGGCTGCCTCGAAGGGTGGTGGAGTCTCTTTCTTAGGAGGTTTTTAATCAGATGGCCCTCTGTTGGGAGTACTTTGATGGATGTTCCCGTATGGTGGGGAGTTAGACTGGATGGCCTCAGTGGTCTCTTCCAACTCTATGACTCTAAATAAATGGAGCTTCCAGAAACATTGAGAGGGCAGTTTGCATAGTCACCTCTTTTCACAAATGTGGGGTCAAAGGGAGGGAGTCCTTGCAACTTGCCCATGTTTAAAGGGATGGTCTCCAGGGTTTCCTTTTTTGGAGAGCAAGTGTCCCAAGGATTTCCTTCAGACTCTGCATTTGTGACAAAGAGCTGTCGCCGGCTCTTTCAGTTTCTTTTGTGCAGTGCAAACATCTAGGGAGAGAGGTTGGAATGGGGAATATGTTTGATGGGGGGATGGTAACTTAACATGATGGGGTAGAACATTGCTTGCTAGCCTCCATTTTGTGTTTTAAAACAAACCATCATAACTATTCTAATATGCATTATACTAGCATAGGAGTTTTCCCACTGTAAAATTCAGCTCTTTTCTGCCAAGATTTAAACATTAGGAGAGAGACGTTAAGAGAGCTGGCAATGGTGGATTTACATTTGGTGAATAGGCAGTAAATGGGCTAAATGTTGCTGGAATAAGTCCAGTGCCTTATTTTAATTCAGTGTTAAATAGCCCAGTGCATTCCCATCAATACAATTTTCTTGTCACTGCTTAATAATGTACAATGGAATTCTTCTGTCAGTGCACTGACAGTGGGTGAGGGATAAGAACACACTGTTGCCTGAAACAGGAGTGAGGTAATTGTGATGCCTAGAGGAGTTCCTCACCCTGCCAGACGGCCAGGCAAAAAAAATTGAAGTAAACAAAGAGTTCCATGCAGGCTCATCACTCTGAGTTGCAGAGGAACATAGCCATTGATTCACACACGCCTGGCCAGTTAATTACTCATTTCTGTTTTGTTTTTAACAGGAAATTTTATTTTTAAAACTTGGAAAAAAATCCTTTAAAAAAAAAGAAACCGTGACAGATGATGACCAAAGTTAAAATTTTCACGTTGCCTAAACTCCACAAAGCCTCATGTTTGAAGCTCCTGTTGATGGCTTAATAGACCCGTTTTGAGATCAGGAATTATGCCATGCATTGTCGTACATTTTTCTTGCTTCCTGTCTTGAGCTTTCAGGCCAGCGTCCAGATAGGGAGAATGGAGTGCCTTGGCATCAGTGAAGATGTTTATTTAGGTCATGTTCCTAAATTGCTCTAGGCTGATTGATTATACAGGTTTGCTATTATAACCAGAAGTTGTTACAACCTAATACTAAAATGTAAAATTAGTGCAAAAAATTACAGAACTATAGAACAAGAAATACAATATAGTAATAACAGTTACAACTCTAATGGAAATTGCCAAGTATCACAGCTAAGCCTGATACTATTGTTGGACTGAATGCCAGAAGTATTGCCTTATAAGGCATGGCCTTACAAAGCAGGCTGAGCCTTCCTGCATTGCCAGAGGAAATCGCTTTTGAGCTGACCCATACCTTGTTTGTTGTTGACATCAGTCGCAACTGGTGGATGAGCGGAATAGTGAGGGACTGTGGCGCAGTGTAGATTGCCAGCACTCAGGGCGAGGCAAGTATTGCACCCCCTAACCTGTGGACTATTAGCACTCCCTGAGTCTCTTCCACCAGTCCAGCATTGAACCCCTTGCCTCCCAGCACATCTATTATATTTTAAGAAAATAGTGATGTAATTAAAGTAAAATGCAGCCACAGTCGGAGGGATTGCAGTTGCTTAGCTGTTTCCCCAGCTGCTAGCTACCACCTTGAGCCTCACCTTGTGCACCTCATTTGCAGCAGCTCATGGGATTGCATGGTGCAGAGGTGGAGGACAGCACTGCCTGGGCGAGCTGAAATTTTGCACCCCTAAAAATGTTTGCACCAGGGCACCGCATTGTGGAATCCATCCAGCCAGCCAGCTTCTGATGTAAGCAGCAAACAGACCTGGTCAACTCTCAGGAGGATTCCTCTAAGAAGACAGTAAGTCTCAGCTGTTTCGTAAGACAGTACAGGATCAGGACAAGGTGGCCCATCTTTGCTGGTACCAGACACTCTTATCTTTCCCATCTGGTCTTCAGCCTGAAAGAGAAAGGCAAGGGTGTGGATGTGTGGAGAATAAGTTGTAAGCAAGCAAGTCTGTAAAAGCATCCATCTTTCTGTCACATCTCTGGACTTTGTGGAGCTTGAGTTGACAAGAGATAGCCTTAACTCTGCAAATTTTTAAAGCTCTGAATAATTCTTAGCATTATCTTTAGCACTTCTAGAGGGTTTGTGTATATTGTCTTGTTTTGTGTCCTTACGACAGTTGTGTAATCAAGTAGGCCAGTATTCAATGACCATCTTCACATAGACGGGTTGAACAGAAAGGAGAGAGATGTTTATCTTCCTCCCATGGGTTTGTGGCAGAGGTGATGTTTGAGCCAGAGCCATGTCCACTACTTCAGGATCTCTTATAGGAGAACTGAAATATGTGTGGGGATTTCTGCTTGTTGAAATTCAGAAGGATTGTTGAACAATGTTTCTGGTCGTCAACAAACAGAGCTTCACTTCCTGTTTAGCTCTTTGCCCCTCACGGTGACTCTCAGAATACAGTGGTGCCTCGCATAACGATGTTAATTGGTTCCATTAAAAACATCGTTATGTGAAAACATCGTTAAGCGAAACACCATTTCCCATACGAATGTATTGAAAACCGGTTAATCCGTTCCAATAGGAGCCTATTCAATACATTTCAATGGTGAAAAAAAATCACCAAAAATTCAAAAAGACTCAGAATGAAGCCAAATTACTTTAATGAAGGTTTTATTAGGTGCACTAACGATTCCAAGCATTTTAAACATTTTTTAAACATTTTAGAATATTTTTAAAATAGCAGAAACAGGGCTGTCAAAAAAAATGTTAAGCGAAACAGGGGACCTAAAACTGTCATCGTTAAGTGAAGCAAGGTCCCAAATATCGTTATGCGAAAATCCCCCATAGGAAACATCGTTAGGTGAGGCGGCAAAATTTCCAGCAAAGGCCATCGTTATGCAAATTCATTGTTGAGCGAGGCACTCGTTAAGCGAGGCACCACTGTATATGCAAGATATATCAATGTGCACAACTTACCCAAGATTCTTCAGTGTTGCATTTTCACCTGTTTTTCCTGTTTTTTCTTGTATGGTTTTTTAAAAAGCAGAGTATGCACAACTGCCTATAGGCTAATTTACATTTAAGCAGATGCTTGGCAATGGAAATTTACCATTTTCTAGGATGTTGCTAAAATACAAAGAGTAAATGTATTGAAATTATATTTTTCATATGCTCCATTGAAATATTATTGGAATGTCAAGTATTCTTTGGAACATTGCCAGCTGGTTTGGCATAAAAGGAGACTCTTCACGTAATAAATACAGGAAAGGGCCTCTCTGCTGATGCAGAGTTATAGGGTGTTGTCAAGAATAGCACAACAGCAGGCAGGCCAGTGAACTGGCAACCAGCCTGAAGATAACAGAAAAATATGAACTGCATTGAAGGGATCCATCTGCATTTGGACTCCTCCCCCCCAATGCAAACAATATAGCTAGGGGAGCCTGGTATGGAATTAGTGACTATTATCAAATTTGATAATCTCATCAAAATGGTAGTAATCAGTTCAGGAGCATTGTGGGCTGTAATACAGTATAATAAGTTACGTTGCTACGTTCAATCAAATCACTTTCAGCAGGATTTTTGAGATGAGGGAGATGTTCAAGGTGTGGTTTACCATTGCCACTCCCCAATGAGCTTCCATGAGTGAATGGGGATTTGAAACCAGCCTTCAAGAAGCTGTTAGAAATTACTAAAAGCCAGGCGGCGAGGCTTCTTCACTCAGCCTGATCTGATGCAGAAGCCAGCAGTGAGCCACCTCCCCTCCCACTCCCCAGGCTTAAGACAGGGCATTTGCACTTAAATGCATGGACTGGCCAGGGTCTTCTACCACTAGCAGTAGGAAGACCGAGTCCACATTGTGTCAGTATGATTTCTGTAACTCCAGAAAGCTGGAGTGTTTGAATCTGTTTAGAGTGAGTTTTTCGATAAAAAGGAAGGGCTTAAGCCAAGCTGCAACTACAACTGTTACTATTTCTTCTTTCTTTCTTTCCTTCTCCTTCTCTTCCTTCGCCTTTTTGAAAATTTCTTTCAGAGGAGCAACTTATCGTTTGTAAACAGGTGATTTCTTAACAAGGGTCATGCTAAAGGCTGCATGTCCAGATTGCTTTAACAAACACAACTCATGGACTTCCAGCAGCAGTAGTTGTCCCCCAGCAATAAATCATTAATTGGGTGAGAACCCTGCTATTAAACATTTTACCTGTGGATTTCTGCACATTGGGCAGTTAAAGGTGTAAAAAATTTCTGTTGACTTAAGCCCTATTCAGGAGCTCTGTCTGTTTTGACTTTGCTTATGTGACAACTGCTGAGTCTAAAGAGGAGAGGCTGCTGCTTGTGTGGATGCTATCCAGTAAGCAGGGGAGCTCTCCTCTTCAGACTCATGTTGGTGATTACACAAACAAAGCACTAACAAGGAGCCTGGCACTCCCTTCCAAGTATGCTGAGAACCCCAGATCCTAATGCCTGAGCGCAGCTTTAGTTGACAAGTACTATCAATATTGTCTGTTTTTATTGCTGCTTGAGCTGTTGGTGTGGGAGAGGACAACTAAGAGATCTCTGGTATGAAGAGACAGTATTACCATCTGTATCATACTCTATACATATGCTTTAGCTCACATACTGACTTGAAGCTTGCAGCAACCCAACTTGAGGCTGTTGTTATTAAATATTTGAGAGAGATAGAATGCCAGACTCTACTATTTTCACTCTATTATTTTCTTTTGTGGAATAACATAACTATATACAGTACATAAGGGACGTGGTGGCGCTGCGGGCTAAACTGCAGAAGCCTGTGCTGCAGGGTCAGAAGACCAAGCAGTCGTAAGATCGAATCCACGCGACGGACTGAGCTCCCATCGCTTGTCCCAGCTCCCGCCAACCTAGCGGTTCGAAAGCATGCAAATGCAAGTAGATAAATAGGGACCACCTCGGTGGGAAGGTAACAGCGTTCCGTGTCTAAATCGCACTGGCCATGTGACCATGGAAGATTGTCTTCGGACAAACGCTGGCCCTATGGCTTGGAAACGGGGATGAGCACCGCCCCCTAGAGTCGAACACGACTGGACAAAAATTGTCAAGGGGAACCTTTACCTTTACCTTATACAGTACATAAGATACTCTTGACTGGAAAGAGAATTTAATTTGACATTTATCTTAGTTTTGTGTGCTGCATGGGCTCATCAGTGAAGAATAGATTCAGAGTTCCTTTTTTGCTTTCAGGAACTAGAAATTCTTTTTTTATGGCAATTAATGTAGTCTTGTTGATTTGTACAAGCAGGGGAATGCAAATAAAATAATGGTGGTTTTTCTGCACTTAATCTCCAGCTTCCAACTTTTACCTGGCTTTTTAAAAAGTACATATTCTCTAAGGAAAGTGATCACCCACCCATCCACCCCGTAACTGACTCAGGTTGTTTTGCCTTTTCCCAGGCCTTACTAAAAATGGACTGCCAGGGTTTGGTGGTGAGGCTAATTCAAGATTTTGTGCTTCTGACTACGGCTGTAGAAGTGGCCCAGCGCTGGAGGGAACTTGCTGAAAAATTGGCCAAGGTCTCCAAACAACAGATGGATGCCTACGAAGCTCCCCATCGGGACAAGAATGGCATTGTAGATGGTGAGGTAAGGAAACATTGGTGTAATATATTCTGGACTTGCTGGATGACTGGCTCTGCACAATAGATAGGAAAAGCAGCTTGGTGTTCTGTTCCTCTGCCTTTTGTATCTTGAATGATACCAAAGCCTAGTATGAGGTGTGTAGGAATTTTGTTGTGTGTTCACAGTGGCCAAAAGAGTTACTGTGCAGAAAGAAATCCATTCATCTGTAAAGCTTATTCTTCCTCTTCCAGAAGTGTCATTTATCACAGAAAGTATTGTGACATGCCAGATATGATCATAATGGGGGACCATATACTAACTGTACACAAAATGAAACTATTTAACATCCTCCTCTTTAGTTCATATGCTTTCGAAAACCTGGAGCAAATAGTGCTCATTTGTCATTTGCCATCCAGGTAACTGTTGCCACTAATCCTAAAAGAAAAGTGATGTTGTTGAAAGATCCATGTTACTTAGAAAGAAGTACTCTGGGCAAGTAAGGTACTATCTGAATGTTTGAATTAAAACTTAGCTTGCCATATTTAAAATCTAGTTTGATTGCAGTGTTTCCTGGACTCCAAATTATGTGTTTTCTATACCAGATATTTTCCATATCCTTTTGCTTTGTGCTTTAGGTTTTACACAAAATGGTACACTGAAAACAAATATACTTGCACTCATTATGGTGTTTTCTTAGCAGTTCAGTATGTTATTTGTTCTAATACTGTGACTCCAATGGCTTTACCAGTATTCACAGAAGTAACAGACCAATCTGATGGCATGGAAGGGATAGACAAGTTATGTATCTCCATAACAAAGATGCCTCTGCATAGAAAAGGGCAGGCAGAGCGAATGCTTGATTGGGGGAGCTCAAGCTGTCTCAAAGGGCATGTATCCCGGACGGTGGATGGAGGTGCCCCTGCTCCAGTCACAAAACACCTGGGTGCTAAATTGGAAGTCTCTCCTCTCCAACTTCTGTGGGATTTCCTGTCCCCTGTAAAATGATTATTAGTGACTCTTTGCTATTCAGTTTTGAAACGATATGGCCTGGGATTAGCCTCAGTGTGAACTAGTCCTTACGGGAAATACAGATTGTTGATACCAGAGGCATCTCTCTTGAGCTGAAGCAGCCACCGCAAGGAGAGCATCTACCCTCCATTTTTGTGAGCATAATGTCTAACTGTAACACTGAGGGCTTGTGCCCCCCCCCAATTTGAAACTCACCGGCCACTTGATAAGTGGAAAACAGGAAGTCACCAGACACACTCTGTACAAACAGTAGCTTTAGATGTTGTACTAGGTAGAAAAAAAAAGGCAGTCAAAGCCAAACTGGGTAATGAATCTATAAATGGCTGAGTCTCAGTATGAATTGTCCCCCTGTAAGAAAAAAACAAAACCAGATACTAGCTCTTAAGTTTTCCAAAAGTGTAATGCCAAGACAAACATGCTTGTTCAACTGGCAGCATTTAATCTGCACATACACACACAACCGCCAGGAAAACAGTTAAAGGATTTAATTGTTCCTGTGAGTCAACCGTATGATTCATGGTGCTGGGAACGAAATATGTTTTGGGATCTTTTTAACTAAAAGTAAGATCTACCCCTTGCCCTCAAACTCTGATGTCAAAGAGGACAGGGATGGGCAGGGTGAGCCACCAAGAGCTGCTGGATTGCACCCCACAGCATTCGTAACCACCTGGCTTTCCTGTCTAAGGCTTATGGAAGTTGCAGTCCGACCTCACCTAGAGCACTGGTTCTTAACCTTGGGTTACTCAGGAGTTTTGGACTGCAACTCCCAGAAGCCTTCACCACCAGCTGTCCTGACTGGGGTTTCTGGGAGTTGCAGTTCAAAAGCATCCGAGTAACAAAGGTTAAGAACCACTGACCTAGAGGGCTGCATTTTGCCCACTCTTGGTATCGCAACACACTTGAAAAGGCAATAAAGTCGTGATTGCTTTTTTGTTTGTTTGTTTGTTTGTTTTTGTGTTTTGTTTGTTTGTTTGTTTTGTTTTTCATCTGTGGAGATAGTTTGGGTGCTGCCTCCTGGTAGCATTCTAGGAGAAATCAGGCAGGAGAAATGGTTGGTACCTTGTTTCCCTGAAAATAAGCCCTAGTATGATTTTTTACCATGCTCCTCATTACAGTATTTGCTTTCATGTACCCCCCCCAAAAAATAAGCCCCAGTTAAATGAAACCCCGCCCTCCACCATTGTGCAGCAACTGGAAGAAGATGGCATGACTGTAAAATAAAACATCCCCTGAAAATAAACCCTAATGCGTTTTTTGGAGCAAAACTTAATATAAGACCCTGTCTTGTTTTCGGGGAAACACGGTATGTATTACAGTGTTCTCTATTGTTCTGCACATGGGTGCTATGCACACAAGATGCTATCTGAATTCAAATGGTAGACACTCTGTATATGATCTTCCTGTCTTTCACAGGCAATGTGGAAACCAGCATATGACTTTATGTTAACGTGGAGCAATCAGATGGGAGACAGTTACCGTGATGTTACCCAAGAACTTCACCTTGGTCTTGATAAGATGAAGAATCCTATCACAAAACGCTGGAAGCATCTTACAGGAACCCTGATTTTAGTAAACACATTGGACATACTACGGGCAGCTGCATTTAGTCCACAAGAAGAACATGACGATTATGCCATCTGATGGGAAGGGATGACTCCAGCAGAAATAGTTGCAGTCTGTTTTTATGATTTTAGCTGATGCTGTCAGAGAGAGAGGGAGAGAGAACAGTTCTGAAAAGCCAGAGTCCTGGGCAGGGATTCCTGGTCTTAGAGTGCAAATATTTCATGCTTGTTCCTCCTCTTTTCAGAAGGTACCCAAGACAATACTCTTTTGTATGCTCTGTGGTTAACAGCTTTTCTTAATATGTAACATTCAGAATTGAACTTTTTAAAGGCATTTGCTAATACTGGACTTGAAAGTTTAGATCACTTTGTGGAAGACTTATTTTGTTGTAACATAAAAAAAACATTTTGTCCCTTTTTAAATTAATCACTTTGAATTGTTGATAATGTGTATTAAAATGCAGCACAGTTCTAATGTGTGACTCTGTTCGTAGAATGGCATGCCAGCCCCACTGCCTCCTAAGATTCTATCAGGGCTCCCCATTACAGTATTTGCTTTCATGTACACAGTTTTGTAAAGAAGAAGATGCACACTTTCCCCAACTTAGTTTACTTTTGTAATCCAAAACTTAGCACAATATGTAGTGTGTGTGGAGACAGTGTGCTTGACTTCTGTCTGCTTTAGATCCATGGTAAGAAAATGGATGCCATATGTAGTCAAGGCTAACATTTCACTTCACTTAATGTTTCATCCTATCTTAATATCTTCTAGCCATCTTTAGTGGCAGGTGCCTCCCTTCAAAAGTCTGCACTATATGAATGTGTTTAAAAATATGAAGGTGGTTGTTTCTTCTATGGTTCTCACTTATGCCATCATTAAGGTGATGTATTAGACCTGGTTTTCACTGAGGTAGCAAGTCTGCATTTGAGCTTGTATATCACTGATGGGCTGAAATCCAATAGTAAGTTGCAGCTAGAGGAGGCCCACTGAATCCATGGGGATCTGGTCAGTTTACGCCTATGTAAGTGAGGTAGCAAGTCTGCATTTGAGCTTGTAAATCACTGATGGGCTGAAATCCAGTAGTAAGTTGCCACTAGAGGAGGCCCACTGAATCCATGGGGATCTGGTCAGTTTACGCCTATGTAAGTTGCATTGATTCAGTGTGCCTACTCTAGTTGCAACTAACCGCTATATTTCAGTGATGGAATATCATATGATGAATGCTCATCCTTCCATTTGAGAATGCATGCTCTGCACTTAGAAAACTAGCTAGTCAGGAAGAAAGCCAGACTAGAACCCACCTAACTGATATCTACAGGGATTTTAGTTTGGGGTGGGGGAACTACAGAGAAGCATTCCATCATGTGAGACCATACATAGCGTGTGAATGCTTTGCATCCCAGAACACAGGGTTACATTTTCAGTGAGGGCTAGGTCCACCTCTCAGATCTGGAGCCTAGTTTGCTAAATTCGAACTCTATGGTTTGTCAGTATTTCATTGTAATCTTGCTCTGAGGGTATACAATTTTTTTAGGTCATTGAGTTTCACCATATATGTTGTGTGACAAGTAATGCTGTCACTAGAATCAGAAACTAAAGTGGCAACACCTTTGCAGCTGCATGTTGAAGATAAAGCCATTAAAAATAACTCTAGTTGTATTACTTTTGAATGAAAGTTTTATCAAACCTTTTCAGTCTACCTCTTAAATCAAAAATATTTCATTTGGGTAAAGTTTCCTTCTAGAGGAAAGGGGAGTGTCGGCTTTTTGCACAATACAATTTTTCATATTAAAACACATTTATTAAATCTTGCAAATAAGATGCTTTTCAAATATTGTATACTAATGATTATCCTTTTCACTCAAAGTTTACAGATAAGCTGAAAATGTTTTCACAATGTGGCCACTAAAATTAACCTTTAAAACCTGTTGTCTCATATTAAAAAACAAAAAAACTAGCATGTTCCAAGAACAAGCTGACCTTTCCAGAATGTGTGTTATGCAACACAACTCCTGTTCCAGAGTTTCATGAAAGCAGAATCTAGTTTATTGGAAAGGCTTTCCTTTTGTTTGTCTGCAAGGTATATTAAAGGGGAAATGGCTGTTATTTATTTGCTTTTCAAAGCAACTCCCTTTAAACAATCCGTCACCCCACCTTGTCAGCTCTGTCCAGTTAAAGGCACCTTAAAATTTGAATTTTGCTGCAAGAGATTAGACCAGATTCCTATGCACGTTTTCTCAGCACAAGCTTAAAGTTAATTGGGTTAGCAAAATAATTATCCGTTATTTTTCTCTCTCCCACAAAGCTGAAATCTTGCATAAGATATTTGAAAGCAGGGAAGAGACGCTCTTGTATTTTGTATCCCAGATAAGAAACGCAAGCAGGCTCAGAAGGGTTCATTTTTCACTATAATGTGAAATAGAATATAGGTGGTGAAATGGTCAGTCTCTCTGTGTACATGGAAGGGCATGCCCATGTGTATAGATATTCTCACTGTTGTGGGCAAACACTGAGCTGATGATACAGCAACATCAGGAGCTCTGTACAAGGGAGCCTTCTTCTACACCAGGATGTTTGCCGTCAGTCCTCCACCTCTGAGCTTGTTTACAGAGATTATCAACTGTCTAGAGTTCCAGAACTAGTTGTCAGTGCTCTGTATTGTAAGGACCCAAAGTGGAGCCAGAGCAGTGAGATTTTAATTTATGAGCAACATATTAGAGTTGGATATTGGAGAATTTTTAATCTCCTGATACCAGATTAGATATTCCATAATTGATTTCAGGAGAGTGGATTGGTTGGCCTGCTGCTTTGCCATTGTTGTCAAACTACCTCAAGTGTCACATGCCTTTTCTTTTCTTTTGATTTAAAACACACAGACGTCCTTGGATGATTCCTACATTATCACTGTAGAGAATGGTTGAACCACAATAACAGATTTCCCGTATTTAGTCAATTGCAGAATGATCTCCCCCCCCCTTTCCCACTTCTGACTAAAATATCAACTCCCAGCACACAGTTGGAGTAGTTTGTATGTTCAGCCAAATACCTTTCACTCAAAGTAGGACCTTACAAGGTAAGCTTGCTTTGGATTTTACATTAATACACTGTACAAGTAGTTTGTTGTAAATTTTTTAAATAAAAAGACTTGTCAAAACTATACAATTAAAGCAGGTATTTGATCACAGTGTTGTTTCAGCCTGACTTATTTTGTGAAAGCTTAACTCAGAGCATCATAATACTCCTGTTTTGCACCAGGTTTACCACACTTGAAATGGATTTTAAAATACCGAGCTATACAATGTACACTTAAGTGCACATATTTTGGGGGCAGAAGGTAGGTATTTTAAAAAATACTGTTTAAAACCTCATTTTTGCAAGCTTGCACTTCTGTGTCACAGTAAATAGTGTCTGTATTGGAATGTGGGGTTTCCCAAAATGGATGCCAAGTATACAGGCACTCACTAACATTTTTTTCTATCCATTTCTAATTTATTACTTTATCAATCTAGTGCGATGCCAATATTAAAAAATACAAGAAGATGGCTGTCTCCCCTGCAGCTGTGCTAAAACCCATGGTTCATGCTCCCCCAACCACTTCCAGGAAATGTCCCCTTACCTGAGTGCAGACAGCATCCTCCTCAGCTCTGCAGAGTTCCCAGTTGTTGGAGAAAGTGAGGTGGCTGCTCTTCAGAGCAAGGAGGAGCTGCCGCCCATATCCCACATCCCTTCCAAGAAGTTTTCACTGAGTGGAAGGCTGAGAGATATTCCCCACCCCAACTTCTTACAATAAGGGGCGGGGGGGTTGCAGTTTTGATGAGAATTCACAGACACAAAAAACATGTGACATATCAATTTCTTTAAAAAAAACTGAAACAGCTGATGTGATTCAACAATGTAATCATGACCTCAGATATTTTTTCTTTTTGTTTCTGGAACTTTGAAACAAAGACCCATTATTAATTGATTATGTATTTTATTTATTTGTTAAATTTATATACCACCCCATTAGTGCATTGCACTGTTATGGGTGATATCCAACAACCATAAATAAAGCAAATACTGTGAAGTTACAAATACACAACCAGGAAGTTCAAAACTATTATATGATAAAACACGTGGCGCCACCTGAGCAGTTCTGTTGAATCATTGTATCAAGATTGCACTTGAGCAGTTCTGTTGAATCATTGTATCAGATTGATCTATCTATCTGTCTGTCTGTCTGTCTTTTGGTCCAAGTATGCCAGCTTATTTCAGGCTTTCTGCCTCCATGACTTTATTTGGAATATGACATAAAGCAAGAATGCAAATTCTTCTTTAGATTGGGTGTCAGTTACACTGATATTTTATTACACTGGTAGCTGAGTTGCACTCAGAGTAAGTAGTTCATTGCTATACAGTACCTTTGTTCTCATTCCTTTAATCCACAAGCTCCAGTGCTATTCAGTCATTATATAATCCACTGTCCTCAATATGAATAAAGAGGAGCACCCAGTCCTGCTCTCTTTTATCGCTTACTTCACAAGAGCTGTGTCAAGTCTGAAGGGGAGTGGTGGGGTTTTAATTGTGGCTCTAAATGTGAGCAAGAGTGCTTCTTGTTCACATATTCAAGATACGTCCCTCATGTTAAGAAATGACAAGGTGAGGAGAGTCCAGTTGCTCTTCTCTGTGTTTCTCTCTCTCTCTCTCTCTCACACACACACACACACACACACACGTGCAATTTCTCTCACCCAAAGGCAACAGAGTCCCCAGCAGCACAGGTGCCGTACTCCTGACCCCATAATTGTGGCTCTAAATGTGAGCAAGAGTTCATATTTGACCCCAAACACTGCAATAGAACCCCCTCTATAACAGGTATTGCAAGATACACAAAAAAGATCCAATGAGGAGATGCAAATAATTGCTGTGCACCTCTCAGGGACCTAATGCATCCAGAGGCTACAAAATATTATGAAACAGAAACATGTATGTTTATGGATTTTGCCAGCATAAAGAGTAGCTGAAATACATTCATTCTGTGCTCATGCTATTTAGCAGGCGCTTCCTTTATGTGGCCAGCAAGACAGCAGACCTGGGCTTTCCCCATCTTGTTGATGATTTATTTCAGCCTTTTAGCAGCACAGAGTTTACTTTATGTCATCTTTTAAAAATGGTATCTGTTCAGACTGAATCATCCTAGGCTTTCCAGTTAAACTTCAGAGAGCTATTTAATTGCATCCTTCTCTGTCCAGAGCAATAAGCAAATGAAAAATGGTTCAGTTAAGTTCATCTTGTGAGTATATACAATCACTATCTCCTGTTCTTAGAGCTATCAAGTAAAATGTTCTTATTCCATGACAACTATTTACAGTATATATTATTTCAGTATTACCTGTTTTCCACTTTAAAAAACAATACTCAAGGTGGCTGCCAACATAGTTCTAATGAAACTGCACTGCAAAGGAAAAAAGTGGACAAACCACTCCTTGTCAGATACCGGATTTTTGTTTCTTTTCTTGAGAAATGTTTATAGTGGCTGATAGTGGCAGGGGAAGGGAGGACGGGTATTCGTATACAAATACCCCCATCTCAAGTTTCAATCCTAAATTTATCTAATTGAAATGGAACAAGTTACACTGAAACTGCAAAGAATGATATCTGAGTAACTGTGAAGGGCTTGGACCACACATTTCTGCCATCACTAGCAATTGTCTCAGTTCTTATGAAAGATGAGTTCATTTGTATCAGTATGAGCTGAATTTTGTATGTTGTGGTTTTGAATGGCTAGTCATTGCTAATAAATGAGGAATCTGTACAATAATGGCATCATAAAATTAATAGTCCAACATTTCAGTAAAATGTACTGGGGAAAACTTTGCCTTCTGGCAAATCCAATCGTATTCTCTCAGAGGCACAACACTGTTGTGGAATCTTCTAAGCAAAAGGGAACAAGACACACTGTCTCCAAAATAAAAATCAGGGAACGGCAACATGTTTGTGAAAACAATGCAAATAGAAACAGGTGATACCTTTAATTGACCACTAAGAATATAAAAACAAAACAAAAAAACAGCGAGCTTTCAGTGATAAATCATATTCAAGGCTGCTCATATTCTTGTGGGTTGCTCAAAAATTATATGCTTTTATTAACGTGATGGTGAGAAATAAGGACTGTATATTAGCAACAATAACCTAGCAAACAAGCTGATATAGAAGCCAGATGAGAATACCTCCTAGAATACCTCTTGAGCAGAGGGACCCAAGCACAAACCTATAAGAAAATCCCATTGTGGGTGGTGCCTATAGAAACATTTACATTAAAAGTCCTGAACCAGAAAGGAATTTTGACCACACATGAAAATCTGTTAACTAAAGAACAGAAGGACAAACAAGAGCTTGAAAAATTGGGTGAAGCTGCTGATTGGTGGTCGTGGGTGTAGCTGCTGATTGGTGGTCGATGGCGAAATTAAAATCAAGAATAAAAAAAGATAAGACTATGGGTTTCTTTGAGGGCAAAGTACAGGTAGATAAACTGTGGATTTATACTGATGAAAAAGATAATTAAAATGTATACATACTTCTTAGAATATGATTTAGAGGATGAGAGGGTAAGAGACACAATGGTAAAATGGGTAAAAAATTTTAGATATAACATAGGTCTTGATGATTGGACTAAGATGTGGAAAGAAAGTTATAAGATGATCAAATCAGGAAACCTTAGAGAAAATATCCTCAAAATGTTTTATAGATGGCATTATACACCTGTAAGAATAGCAAAAATGTCAGAGGGTAACAGCAATATATGTTGGAAGTGTAAAAAAAATGCAGGAACCTATTATCATATGTGGTGGACATGCGAAAAAGTCAAAAATTATTAGACACAGGTGCGGGAAATAGTGAAAGAAATTACCCAGCAGAAATTAGATAGAAAACCTGAAATGGCATTATTGAATGCCATGCCAGGAACTAATGATAAAAAATAAAGCATTGTTTAATATATATACTCACAGCAGCTAGATTACTCTGGGCCCAAAAATGGAAGAGCAAAGAGACTTCAACTACAGAAGAGTTGTTAAAGAAGCTATGGGATACGGCAGAACTGGATACGCTATCAGAAGCACTATGGGAACAACCAAGAGACGACGTAAAACAAAGCTGGGAACTAATATACTCTTGGGCCCAGAGGAAGACAGAAGTGTAGGGCAAACTTTACTATATATGTACAGGTATATCTATTGAGTACACACTAGAAACCCAACCGGGGAGAGCGGAGGGCTAACGAGGCTGGAATCGCTGACTCCAAAGGGGGGAAGATTTAGTTTAGTAGAGGGTATAGTTCAGTGTTTTTTATTCCTTTTTTCTCTGTTTTTGTTTTCTGTATGTTGAATTTAAATTAAATAAAATTTAAAAAAACAATGGGGGGAAAAAGCCCTCCTCCCTCATATCTTCATTTCCTAACTGAAGGCTGCTGTGCAGCAAGGGTGAGTATTTTAGGAGTGTTTTGCCAGGGAAAAATGGCCTAGTTCTTCCCTAGATTATGACATGCCCATGGACTTACAAACAGAGACAAACACCTACACAGCAGGCATGGAGATGAATAACCCAGGTCCTCAAGTCACTTGAGGTTTTGACCCAGGAGTGGACAGTCTAAGGCTAGTGAGGTTTTCCAGTTAAGATGGCTTATAAGGTTAGGAAACACTTGTCCAAGCAAAGGCAGAAGAAGCATTCAGATAAAAGGGGGCAATGGGGAAACCCTCTCTGGCCCTGTTCCCCCGGCCCTAAGCCTCCCTGGTTTCATCGAGAAGGCCTGCAGTGAGAAGGTAACTGTGGCATTCAGAGGAACATGGTTAGTATCCTCTTTGCGTGAACAAATCACCTGTGCAGTAAGAGTTCCCAGTTTTGTGAAGGATTGTAACCACTTTCAGTTAACACTGATTGTAACACACTTTCACCTCCTCTGCCAGTATGGGGGAGGCTGTGGCGGAGGGAATAGGGAAGGTGACGTTCCTTCTGCATTTTCAAACTGCTGGGCTGCTATAACCACCAAAGGTGGGCAACTGGAGTGTGACTGGAGCTGATAGGGTTTGTTGTCAGTCGAACACTCGATTGGAGGAGAGTGTTGTCTCCCTTTCAACAAAGCTAACCTTCTACATGAATAGTGCCCCAATTAACAAGAATTCACATGGAAGCTTAATTGTCACTCGG